AATGTGTAGTGTTTGGTTCAGGGACTTAGTTTAGTTATTTGGCCAGTGCAAGTTATTGCCCATGAAGCGATTGGCTATAGAAAATGTGTCATGCAGACAAAAAAGCGGTATAATAGAACTTCAGGTTTCCTCTAGAGATAGAGATATCCAGTTAACAACTAAATCATCATGAGTATATGAAAAATTGATTTGTCCTGATGTATATTTCTTGAGAATGTGACGTGTTAAAGTTTACATCTATAAATATTCAGCAAAGGCCCTAATTTAACCAGTCCACCTTTCATTCTTGAGTTAAGAAACTCACAACAAACATCAAACTGAAAAGGGGTACAAATAACTTAGTTCTTAACTGTAAATATCCAGTGGATACATACATAGAGCTAGTTACCACATCATCTTTTGCTCTCATATCCGCTCATGCCAGCTGTGTTTGCCTAATAAAAAAGGAGCGTGAGGATAAAAAGGACATAAAGTTTTTTAAACACTGATTACAGAAAGAAGCGTTATGTACATTGCCCTTTGGTGACAAGAAGATGTAAGTTACTCATTGAACAAATGGCACCTTGCTTGATGATGAAGAGACAGCAAAACAACAACAAACATGTGCATTTTTGTATTCTTTTTATTTGTTATAGTCATGCCCTTTACAACAAGTTCACGACAGACTCTACTGGTCCACGAGTTTCATCCTCTGCTATGCTATGACCCCCCCCCCCCCCTTTTTTTTGTTGGGGGGGGGGGTGGAGTAAAATTTAGAAATATATGAGACGTAATTGCTTCCCTTTGGTTTATTTAGGGTAACAAACAGGAGGCATGTTAGTACTCAGGCGGGTTAAGGACTTTTTAAAATCCATTAATCTTCATAATATGGGCAATTTGTCTGCACTTGTGGTTTTATTGTCTGCCTGCAAGAGACAAAGTGTTAACTTAATATTTGCCCCCATACTTAGCAGAGACACTTATGATAAACCTACACTCCTGAGTTTGTACTGATGGAGTGCAATAAAGAAGAGATGGTCAAGCCTGCTTTAGTGACCACCTGTCTATAAAGACCACTTCTTTTTGGTGTGAAATAGGGCATCCATTATATGTAAAGCACCTGTTATGTATCGAGTCAGGCAAGCTTTATTGTTGGGGTTACATTATCTGTACATCTTTTAAGCATGCTGCAGTGGTGACCTGTAAAGAAAGACCACCTCTCTGGAATGACCACATCTTTGTATCATAGTACTGAAGTAAAACTCTGAGTAAAGTTGCCATTCTTTAAATTTCAAGAGCATTACTTACATACAAGTTGTTACCTTACCTGATAATCAATTTCAATGATTTAGAAGTGACTCCAAAGTGTTATCACCAGCAAAAGTAGTATTGAAAGCATAAAGCAAAATGATATTGATTAATTAATGATAAATAAATTAGAAAATCACACCAGAAAATTAATTGCATTATTTTGCACACAGATGTTAAATTATCTGTCTGACTTAATATAGTAGGTTACTATCTACCTTAGATCTTGAAATGAAGTGTATAGGCTTTGGGATCTTGTCTTATTCTTTCAAGCTCTCAATATTATTGAGTCAAGGTCAGTTGATCTACTCTAGATTTTGTTTGTATGCACCCACATACTACCAGGGTGTTCTATTTTCTTCTCTCATCGTTAGACTCATTTTCTTGGAGAGCAATGAGACATAAAAATCTTGCACTGAGGTCTGATATGATTCTAAACATGTTGTTACATTAAAAAATTTGTGTTTCTGTGAGGGGGGGGGTGTATTTTTGTACATATGGCTTCAATTTACAACTCATTACTCTATTAAGGCTCCTTAATGCAGAGCTGAGAGATGATTGATATCTTATTGGTAATTTTCAGCAACATTTGCTTCTGGCTTTATTTCATCAAGACAAATTATTTGATTAAGACTCTATTTAGGTGTAGAGTTAGGTTAATGGTTCAGAGTAGTGTTTGGTCTAGGGTTGGAGTTAAGAATTTGATTAGTTTAAAAAATCGGCTAGGATGCAACTCTCCATGGACTTTGTGACTACGAAACCTATAATCATCAAGAATGAAATATCATGCTTTAGTCTCTCACATGCAGTCATAGTTCTTTTTTCTTTTAATCATCCTGAGTTAAACAACATATATTTACTTCTCACACTCTCTAACATGTGCATTAAAACCCATATCAAGCTGGCATCCCGCCAACAGGGGGCTAAAGCTTTTGATGGATGCAGTTCTATTTTTCTTACATCCCTCCTAATTACAATGGAAGAGAGAAACTCATCAATGCTCTGTCTCTCTCCTGCTCTGCTGTGTTGCTCCTCCTCTCTTCATGTTGATGTTGCCTGGGAGCTATCATTTGGATAAATTGTATTCTTTGTGTCCCCATTAACGAGTGATTAAAGATGTGATCGTCTCGTAAGACTGGAGACTGATGATGTCTGGGGTGTCTCTTAATGTATCCTTGCTTTCCTTTTAAAGCTTAAAGCCCATTTACAATTTCAGTATGAACCCCCCCCCTTTCTTTATAAATATATATATATATATATATATATATATTTTCACCAGATTCCTTTTATTTTAGTTGATAAAGGGTGAGATCATAGGGATTTTAATACAGTGAAGTCTATTTTCTCTTCTCAAGTGGAATTTGAAAGAAACAAGTATTGGACCATTATTTATAAATCCTGCCTGGGGCATAACTCCAACTTACAACTGACCCATGTATGGAAGCCTGTATGGAGAGCTGTATGTCTACAATTTTTGTTATGACTCTATATGCCTGTCTTCATCAGACCGAAGTTACAAAATAACCCACTTTTTTCAGCGTATAGGAAATGCTTTGTGAGGAGCCAAGAGCGGGGTCAGATCTTTGTGATTGGCTTAGTAGCCTTAGTTTGATATTATTTTCAGAGAAGTACACTGAAATTTATTGGAAGTCACGGACAGAACATAAAGAATTATTGCTCAGATATCTATTTATACAAGGAGGATTATATGAGGCTATGGTTAGGTTATGATATTGACTCTGGAGTCTGGAGCATGTGGCGTAGAACCCTTAAAATTTAAAGTCCAATATTTTTGTCTTGGAAAAATTCTGAAATAAAAGTGTCTTCTTATAGTGTGTATTAATGTTGTGTCAGGAAAGCAGTAACTTGATATATAATGTTTTTACCCTTCAAGTTAGAGAATAATAAATTATAATACCTTTTCCCTGGTTTATTAGGCAAAATTAATCCAAATGATCATGGACAGCAAGGAAACCAAGAAAAGCAAGTGCAAGAGAAATATCGAAACTGAAATTGTACTGTTGTTTTTTAGAATTACAACTGTTTTTGCCTTCATGCATTTTGAAAGGCACTTACAAGATAAAGGGGAAAAGAGAAACTGATTTTCTCCTTTAAATTTATGGAAATCAATAAACACATATTGTCTGATTGTTCCATTTTTTTCTCCTTCAAACACCTTTTGGATTCATGTGAGCACCATTCATTTGTTTTCATTTTAAGTTGTTCGAACAAATCAAATATCATCTGTTGAGAGCCAGATGGGTTTTAACTCATGAAGTTTAACACAGAGCTAATGCCCTTCTGGCTCTCAACAGAATGAAGTGTGTCAAGTATGCATTGGTTGTAGGGATTCTTGATGTCATATCCTGTTGTTCCATTCCATGAAAACCTACAATTTTGCTTGATGTAAGAAATATCTGCTATTCTTGGGGTTGTTTTCAATTTTCGGACTCGTTTTATAATTTTACCATTCTTAGCTCATTGCAAGTGTACAATACTTCAAGGTGGAGTCAGTTATGTAGCTACAGTGGGACATGGTGGGGTATATAATGCCCTCCCCAATCAAAGTGCCAAAAGTAAAGGGAAAACAACAAGGAAAGAGAGAGAGAAAGGAAGAAGGGAAGGTCGATGTGAACCCCCTCCCACACCTTCCCCCCACTCTATGTCGTTTTTTTTTCTTCTATTTAATTTAACCTAATATTTCCCTTGCATCCCCCATTTTGTGATATTTTACAAGTATTCCTCCTCTTCCAAACCCCCCCCCCCCCTGTACTATTTTGTCTGCCGTGGATTACAATTATTTTCTTGCGTATTGCTCTTTCTCTGTTTCCATCTCTGATTCTTCATTCATTAGTGAAACAGCCTTTAGCTCTTCTTGATCCCTAGGTTTGATTTTGTGAGATCTGTAGTCATACTAACTTGTAGAGGATAGTCAGAGTGAGCTAGTGAAACTCACAAACACAAATCCAGAGCTGTGACAAAATTGGTAGACTTTTGGTATCAGCTTCTTGTGCCAGATTCTCACCGGGTGTGGAACTGTAAATCTTTTTCTTTTTCTCTTTATTTTCTCTCTCTTCGTCTCCTTATTTCTCTTGCTTGCTTTCTCCCTCTCACTTTCTCTCATCTCTCTCCTCCTTTTCTCCTCTTTTCACCTATAAACACTTCTTTGTTTTTACCAGCTTCTTGCATACACAACCCTTCTCTCAGGGAATCTTTTTGTGTGCCATCTATCAAGGTTCCCTGCCTCCTGTTTTACCCTCTGACAACCGTACACTTCAAGGCTTGTCTGAAATCTGCTATCTTCATTGAAACATTAATCCTCCCAGCTCCCAGTTAGTAAACTATTCCCTCTTGATTTTCCATGCAACTTTTTGACAATGTGTCACTCCAAGCCGCATTGCTTCCACACTCTCTCTAATGACTGGCTTTCCACTGTTTATTCTCCCCCTCAGATATAAAACTCATCTCTGCCTCATCCCGAGCCCATCCAGAGGGAAGAAAGTACAAAGAGCTTGTGTTTCCCACCCATGGCAGAGATTACAACCTACATCTCAATCTCGTAAACTGATGGCATTCCAGGCCGCTCGGTGATCATACTACGACGGACGATGAGGAGAGAGAGGAGCGTATAACACCTCTGCTTGGCAGCGAGTGGTGGCGTGCTGTAACCTGACTCTTCACGCCGCAGAAACAAGATAAAATCCTCATCAGCAGCAGTTGTCTCGTGTCATCGGCTCTTCCCTCCCTCGCAGATTGTGCCTCCACTATTCCTGCTCCGCAGGTGATGGTGGGGAAGCGAGACGTGTGCCTGCTGCCATTTAGAAATCATAGACCCCTGTAAGTGTGGGTTAATTTATTGGATGTAGCAGTAGGATACAGAGAAAGGATTGAAACATTCATGTGATGTGACAAGAACATGGTGTTGGTCATCTAGATACACGATCTGTGATCAGCTGCTGAGTCGTGTGGCATACACTATAGCTTCTGACTTTCACTGCATGTTTATGGGAGGCTCGAGGAGGAAATATCCAGCATTCTCTAAATGTTGTGTCTTTGGATGTGCCAGATTTGATGACAGATTGAGACAGCGCGAAACCAAACAACATTGAATCATTCCACACCTCAACGTGAGAATGAGAGAACGGGGGTGAAAGTAAAACAAGAAACTCTGCAAACAAAGCCTGTTTTCTCTCCATCCCTCGCTGGTCTGAGAATCTCCGCGAGACGTTCAGCAAAGCGTTCCATTCTCCTCTCTCGTTCAGATGCAAGCGATGAAACGCTCTGTCAACGCTGGCTGCTGAGTTGTGTGCACTGGACTGACCACCGCGCCAAAATTCAGCATGGAATTACCACAATCTCCAGTCCGGCCATTTCTTTAGAGATCAGAGTTTGCTGATAATACGATTGACCAACGGCAAACATGGAGGCGATGGAAATGATGGAGATGATGATGATGGTAGGATCGGGAAGAAAGAGGTGGAAAAGATGGAAGAGATCTTGGTTTGTTCTTCGAGTCGTAGCCATCTGTTTGATGTTGCTTGTGGGTGATGTCGTAGCGACCATTGTCAACACACCTGAGCCTATAGAAGGTAGGCACTTCTCATTATTACTTTCTTCAATAAGCCGTTTTTTTTATTCTGTCATGTTTTCTTCTTATTGTATACTAAGCCCTAGAAAACCCTGGAGTAATTCAAAAGTGTATTTTGTAAAAAAATCAAATCATATTCAACAGGTAACGGAATGGTTCTTTTTTTCAGGAATGTTTTTCACAGACTCTACTGTTTTTTAATTTCTTCTTATATATTTGTCTTTGTGTCTTCCTCAAGTTTTGCATACAATAAGTGGGCAGAGAGATATCACATTTATTTCCTAGATTACGCACATCATCAAACTCTACTAAAGATACTGCACATTTGAAGCATAAATATTTTCCTCTTCTTTCATTGATTTCTGTCTGATACATGCTTATTTTATAACAGCTTTCAACATTCAGTTTATCTCAAACCATTTTTTTTCTGATTTGAGAAGAAATGTATAAATTATTTTGTTTGAAATTGAAAAGACTGTTATCCTTATGTTGACAGAAAAGTGATGTCATATGAAACATGCTCCCTATAAATAATTCCATGGCCAAATGGGGAGGGGGACTGGCCCTATTCTCCAACTTTGCTTCTTTTGTTTATGTATTGTCAAATGAGCAATTTGTAGAAGTATAAATCTGCAATTCATAGATACTCGACTTTTAACATGCACATAGAACACAAACATATCTAGCTCCCCTTTAGCCTAGATTCGCATTTGTCCATCAATAAAGACAGCAATATTTGCGATGAATTTGAAGGGAATGTTGAGTGGGCGTTTGAGAAAAAACAACTTTTGATATTGAGAGATGGAGAATCAGACTTTAAAATGTGCTTAGTTCTTGTGTGGCTTTCTCCTTAATATTTAGATACCGGTACTTGTGGCATTAGTGGTGTATGCATACCAAATGTGAACAGAAAAAGAGCTGTGGTACTTCACATTTTTGTTTACGTTTCTGATTTCATGGTTTTGCATTTCTGTTGATTGTATCAGATTATTCTTCTTGGTTTTAATGTGTTTTCTTAGAAAATAGCAGTTTTTGTTTAGAAAGTATGCAAAGTGTATCATTTTAAGAGAAAAGGGCATCTTTTTCTGTAAATCTGTTTAAAGCATCTGAGACAGCAAAAGGGTTAAATTAGCAAAGAAGACAGCATGCATTGTACATTATATTTAAACTCTTATAGATCTTCTTTCTGTAAATCCCTCGAGGAAAAGATAATCCTTCATGTTATTAAATTGGTCTAACATATGACTGACATTATACATGATATATCTGCCTAAGGTTGTGACTTGCAACCAGAGATTAACTGTCTTTACTTTTCGACATAATAGTAGCATGTAATCACCCTGGTGTGTTTCTTTGTCATTTCAAGTTAGATATTCTCATGGGTTTCCCCCAAGGGTGATGGATCAGGTGATTGATTTTCTGATGCATCAGCGCAATGTAGAATTTATCCTAACATAGAACTAGAACACGAGGCAATTGAGAACCGAAAACAAGTATAAGCAAAGATGTCTTGGGCAATGTTACCCCATATGTGTTTTTAGTCAGGGTATTGCATCGATTGCAAATGGATTAAAGACCATTCATTCATTCTTGTAAGGTCCGTCTTACTCATTCCGGAACAGAAATTTAATTTGCCTGAATGGCTAGGCTCTGTATACTCCTCAAAATGGCAAATGCAGTATTTTTTTTAACCCTTTGCAGACATTGGAGGAAGTATTATTTGTACATGAAACTGTATGGAAACGAAGCTTATAATGAATCAAAATAATAAGCATTTATATCATTAAATGAATTTACTCTTTTGACCATGTGCTGCCAATTTGATACCTATTTCTCTCCAACTAATTGTATGATATAACATTGTATACTGAAATTATAAATATTTTTGATTGACTTCTAAAAGAAATGGATAGCAGTTCAGCTTGCCTTTAATGTTGAAAAGACGCCCCATGCAGGCCCCAGAGATATGGTTATGTCACCATGCGTAGTGATTTTTTCTTCTTTTTAATTCATTTAAATCTGAAAAATATAACAATTATTTTTAATCGCTAGTTTTAGCATAATCAGCATTGTTTTTTATTGCCAACCATCACAATCCATGACCAAGTCGCAATCCCCTGACTAAAATATTAATTTCAGATACGCTTAGACTAAGTAATCTCATATTTCAAACATTCATAGCTTTGGTCTGATTTATTTTAAACTTTCGCCTTTCTGTTTCTCTAATTTTTCTGCCTTCATACAAGTGACCTTACTACAAGGGTTGGATTGCCCTTTAACAGTCACTACCTGAACACGATCAAACAATGAGCTCATAAATCATGGCTGCGCGTTGCAGAACAAAAATGCGGGTTAAAACGAGAAGAATCGATTTAGACAAACAAGGTTACTTCGCTCGTGCTTCCTCTTTAAAATATAAAGTAAATTTATCTTGTCTCTCCATTCTTGTATGTCTTCCTGTGTCTCCTTGGATCACTCGGGGCGAGAAGAAGAAGCATGTATCTCCACTTGTTCATGCAAAGAGTATTATTTGTAACAGGCTTCATCAACTTTTTACCTACTGTTTGATTATTTTCGTTTCTGAAATATAAAGTTCAATGAATGAACACCCCAAGTTCACGACATATAATATTTTGCTTACGAACGTCATGATATGAGGGTTATCCATTTCATTGATTCAAATCACTGATATAAATCAAAGGTAGTTTTGGCATTTTTATCAGTACTTGGAAGTTGAAAGTAGTTGTTTATGAATTCTATTGTAAAAAAATACCCTTGAATGTTTATGAAAGGTAATCCATATTTAGTTAGGGGAATAAGGAATGTTCATTTTCAATGAAAATGACAAGGATTCTGTATAGTGCATTACAAGCAACTCTGAAATTATAGACATCACCATAATGAAAGTGATTTGTGAAGGGAACTTCATGAAGGTATTACCACCGATCTATTACATTGCATTTTATCATGGTTGGGGCCGATAAATCATTTTTCAAAACTTAAAGGGATCCGGTAACTTTGTCTCAGATTCTGAAACAAAATCCTGGATTTAGCTCATGCTGCAATGATAATTATAACCCTTTAGGTCAGTCAGGAACCCAATGACTTTTACAGGCCGATCGTCTGTCTGATTATCAAGATAATTATGTTTGGAATTACAAATTTTGAGAACCGTTTGCAAAAACGGTTTTCATAACACTACAGTCTATTGGGGAAAACGAGTATGGTAAAACCAGTCACTAAAAGATTTTTACTTTTTTGAGGCACTTCTTGATCATTTTGAAGCGCATTTTTTTAGGGCTTCAATATTACACCATATCACAGACACTGATAACACGTAGGGCCGTGCATCTCAGATTTAATATTGATAAAGGATGCCTTTAAATGGTACCGTGTAGGTTTCTCAGACAAAAAAAAAATCATCAGGGATTTCAATAAATTAAACAGTGACTTTCTTTTTTAAAGATATATAGTTAACCAAGAAAAAATGAATTGAATTGAACTGAATAGAATTCTATTTGTACCTGATGAAATGGAGATCAAGTTATAGATCATAAACAGCCTTTATAGGGACAAATGACCTTTCTAAAGAGACACCCTGCTTTACTTGGGTGAGGCATTTATTTCAGCTGCAGTGCTAAGCAAACAAATATGACATGATCACAGACATTTTTACAAATTTCCCTGTAGGCAATTTCTTTATTATAGGATTATCTATAGAATTATGGACAATTCTCAGAGGCCAATGTAGGCTCGATGTAAACACATTTCAATAAAAGAGAGGCTTGGTGACCAAAGTCAACCATTTGCAGTTTTTGTGAGGGGGGGGGGGGGTGGGGGTGATTAAAATGTGACCAAGACTAATGTAACATATATAGCTTTAAACAGCTTGTCCTGTTTGACCTAAATGTATTTCAAAATGATTGATATATTGATCTTCTAAGTTTATTTGGAAAATACATTAGATAGGCTATTGGTATTGTGATACCTGATATCTTAGAAGAAAAAAAAGATTGGTGCTGTTTTGATAAAAAGTATGATAAGCATAAATAAGTAAGGGAACCTGCAACATCCAAAACATTTTCCATATAACTTTAGGAGACTGATTTAGAAACTATATATTGTTAGTTATGGTTATGGTATATAGTAATATATATTGGTATAGTTATAGTTATGATTGTTATGATTATGGTTATGGAAAGGGTTATACTTATACTTATAGTTATACTTATATCTATACATGAGTCATGGTTATGATTATAATTATAGCTATCATTATCTTTATTGTACACGTACATGATGAAAGCAGCCTTTAACCCTGTCTGAAAACTATGTGAACTGAATATTGATGGCACACCCAACGGCAATAAAGCGTGTACATTGTTGTCAACTGGTGATCTTAGAGATCTAAGACTTCATAAATGTATTTTTATATGATTTAGAACATTTTTATATGATTTAGAACATTTTTATATGATTTAGAACATTTTATATGATTTAGAACATCATTATTTTGTCTTACCATCCTTAGTAACCCACTGTAAATAAGGATACAGCTCTATAAATAATAATAAAAGTCATACATATATACATAGCACCTTTTCCATTAGATTTAAAGCACTTGAGATGTCAACCTTTGAATAACAACTTAGTGAATTGTCAAGGACAGCCATTTCACAGGAGGAAACAAAACTTTAATGTTGGTCGAGTGTGATTTCAGGTATTTTGCGGGATAAACTTCAGAAATATAAATAAAAATCAGGAATACTTCATGCATGCAAAAGTTTCTGGTTTTCAAATAGTATGCTTATTAGATTTTGCATGAATGACTCCTCTGATGGTGATAATGTAAGATGAGATGGGGGGCATGTATCTACTTTAAACAATATTTCTCTCTTTAAAATATGTTATATTGTTATATGGTATATGATAAGTGTCTCTGCTATTATGGGGGCGAATGTTAAAGTCTGTGTTAAGATATATGAGTTAATATCCTTCTGG